TGCTCTTCAGCTTATTTTTTCCTATATTTATATACTTCCAAAACTGGACTTTATATAGACTCCCAGGCCTGATACATCACTTTTATGTATGGTCTCCCAGACCTTGTTTTCAAATCTCATATATCTGTGGCTTCCATACCTGGTCTCTACATGGATTCCTAGGTCTATAGTTGCCAATTCCCCCTTATTTGAAGGCTGGACCATCATTATATTAATTTGCAAAATCCCAACCCCGCCATTTAGCTCATTTGGCTTATGGATTCCCTGCATGAATTCCCTTCCCTGGGTTGTTAGTTCGTTTATGTGTAGATTTTCAGACCCACGGGTAGACTCCCAAGCCTGATCTTCAACTCATCCATAAAAATAAACTCCCAGCTTCGGATTTCAGCTGCCCTACCTATATAAAGACTTGCAGGTCTGGAATTTAAATTTTCTATGTACAGACCCTAACTTTCAGTCCTTCTGACTAAAGGTGAGAATACATACAACGCTTTTTTACTGTTCTTCGTAAAAGAACAAAGGAGCGTAGGGTCAAAAGAACAATGGAGTTTTAGGTTGACTTATTTCGATTTTGCCCTAGGTTCCATTGTTTTTTTTTTCGAAGAAACCCTTTATGCACCCTCTCCTTAAAAATGCTCTCCTTTTTATAAGACCCAGACGCATTTTAAAAAAGACCTAAGGGTCCCTATAAAAATCTTTCATAGAAGAAGATAATTTTTATTGAGAGAAAGAGATTCTTCAAGTCTATTTAAATTACAAAATTTATAGAACTCCACTCTCCCTTATCGAATATCTCCGCTCCTCTTCTTCTTCTCTTCTCTTGGTATTATGGGATTTGGTTGCAACTCTGCATATTTCTTCAGGCAGCCAATTTTTATTTACCTAAAATGAAACGAGCAGCAAGAAAAAGTCAGGTTAAATAAAACTTAATTTTAAAATTTGTCTACAAATAGTAGACTTAAAATTGAGGCCCAGAATAGGCTTATTTGGAATGAGGTTACCTTCTTAACTCTTCGATACACCTACCTTTGGGGCAGCACGAACTTGTGTAATTACGGCGGAGTTACGATATTTCTCTGGTACCACAAACTTGAAGATTGGTCGAAGTAGCGAAAAGTAGACAATCTCGGCAATGGAAATGAAACTGAAGCCCATAAAAAGACCCAAAATGCCACCGGTATTAGCTAAAAAGAGAGGATCGATGTTAATATTAATTAAGGTTATGATACATACGCAGCTTGGCATATTAGATAGAGAATGTTAGAGCCGCTCTCGAATCCCGGCTTCATTTTGCCTCAAGGTGGAAGTACATAAAGAGCCTGTTTGACTGGCATAAGTCATCGGCTGGCATCTTCGTAAATGAACAAAGGAGCCTAGGGCCCAAATCGAACTAAGTCAACCTAAAACACCTTTGTTTCTCTACGAAGAAGCCAGCCGATGACTTATGCCAAACAGAAAAGCTCTTTATGTACTTCCACCTTTATAATTAGACATTAATACGCCATGCCTTGATGCCAAGCTTTTTATGTATCATTAGTTTTACTCTTAACCTACACAAAAATTCCGTAAATCCAATATAGACATTTTTCAGTTCCGCATTGATGACCGATTCGCGATAGTAAAAATGTATAACGGCAATATTGCGTTGCACCTCCTCTTTGGGCAAGTTTGTCAATATTTCACTCTGTATGGTGTAATTGTGCATGGCCAGGGGTGAAGAGAATGCATCCGGCATAAAGGTCACATCGACACAAGGCGTATGACAACGGGACATACATCTTCCAGCCGGATTCTGTGTCAACTTCGCCTTTTCAATGCAAAACAATCGACTGATATTACAAAATGTCGCATTATCATAGATTACCGGCAAATAATAGGGTATACAGCCGCAATGCTCTATCAGGAAGGCGGACAAACATTCATTCTCACAATGTGTCTTCGTGTAGTAACGATAAAAAACGAGCTGCTGTTCATCGAGAAAAACACAACGACGTCGGCGACGATTTATCGAGCGAATGGCCGGCGACGATTCGGTGAGTTGGGCATCAATGCGAAATCGTGTCTCCGAACCCAAGGGTACAGCAACGCCTCCCTCGCTTATCAGAGGCCTATCCACAGGACTGCCTAAATTCACCTTGAACCCAGCACCACTACTCGACGAGCAGTAGTATTCATCCACCTCGGCATTTAGCATGACAGAAACGCCCAGTGAGATGCCAGTTCCTGGAAGAGAGAGAGAGAGAGGGGAGAGAGGAATAATATGATTTTTTAATTTAGTTCCTTTTTTCGAAAACTTACCATAAGTTGGCCTTGGATAATATTTTGGTGGCAGTTTTGTGGGATAGCCTGTTTCGGGATTCCAATCGATTGGTACCAGATCCGGACCATGTATCAGGTCATCCAGAGTCCGATAGCTGTAAGGTTTTTTATACATATAGAGATTTGCTTCCACAAAGAGGGTTTCCCCAAAGCAAGGTTGGGAGAAAACAATGCAATGGGAAATATTTGAGTTTGTAGGTGTAAAGAGAGAAGTAAGCTCACACATCCGCTCTCTCTCTCTCTCACACAATCATTATTATAGTACGTTTACAGTTTCCCGTATTGCATATACGTCAAACAAGTCCCCATAAGAGGCAAAAACCCTCTAATGTAAACATAGTATCAGAGTCATATGTTAAGTGATTTTTACACATTTATACCTTTGTAGAATTAAGAAGGTAACTTAGTGCAATCTTTCAAAATTATACCTTTAAAGACATCCCATAGACAAAATTTATATTCATTTACCCATTGTGTGCAAACAAATTGGGGATGGGAAACTGTTTTTCATTAAATCTGTTTTCAGTTAAATTTCACAGAAAATATAGAGCTGGATATGATAGTTTGAAAAGAGGTTACCCTCTTCATTCCATTAAACCAGATACATAGAAGATTTATCCCATATGTATAGAAGAAAGTTCAGGTATATAAATCGATTGGGGGAATGGAATAGATCCTCTATACTTGGAGGAGATCTTCTTTGTGTAGAAAAGACATTTTAAATGAACAAGGGATCATCAATTCACAAAAGACGTTTTCGATTTATAAAAACCTTTTTTTAAATAAAAGAACTCTTCCTTTTGAAAGATTCCTTCTTTGTAGTAGATCAGTCCTCTCCAATTATATGTTATACTTATCCCTCATAGAACGTTCTACTGACTTTCCCTTGTACAGAAAACGCGGATGCAAGGTGTTAAAGGCACAGCAAAGACCCTCATCGGTGACGACTTCACGAAACAATTCACTGCAATTGACATCCACGGAACTGAGTTGACAGGCCACAAGCATTCGGGAACAAGGCTGGGAATGCTGAATTAAAGGGGAAAAATAAAAAAGAGATTAAAATATAATTGTCGATATGCTGATAGATAAATTAGGTCTGTCTGGCTAACAATTATTTCGGGTATAGTTTTAAATCGTGGTATAGATTTTCATCCAGGTTTGGAATTTGTATGTAGACGCGCTATGAATTTTAAATCTTAAATCCCGTGACGTATACGTAATGGCAATGAATGTTCTTGGACTTATTACATGAATATGTCGTATTACTTTCTGAGAAGGAAGTTTTTGGGCAATTCTTGCGGGAAAAGTAGTCAGACGGACCTATGCTCTCAGCATATACTGAAACATGCCCAGTTAAGGCTGGAAATACATAAAACGCATATTTGGCTGGCTTAAGGCTGGAAATACATAAAGAGCATATTTGGCTGGCTTAAGTCATCGGCTGGCTTCTTCGGAAATGAACTAAGGAGCCTAGGCCCAAAATCGAACTAAGTCAACCTAAAACTCCTTTGTTCATCTACGAAGAAGCCAGCCGGTGACTTAAGGCAACGAAATATGCTCTTTATGTATTTCCAGCCTAAGTCATCGGGAGGCTTCTTCGAATAAGAACAAGGGAGCCTTGGGCCAAAATCGAGCTAAATCAACCTAAAAGTCCTTTAGTTTTAGGTTGACTTAGTTCTATTTTGGCCCACCGCACCTTTGTTCTGATCCGAAGAAGCCAGCCGATGACTTAAGCCAGTCAGAAAAGCTACAAGGTGGGAATGCATAAAACGCTTAAGGTGCAAGCACATAAAGAGCTTTTTTGGATTAAGTCAAGGGCTGGCTTCTTTGGAAAAGATCAAATGAGTGTAGGCCAAAATCGAACTAAGTCAACTTAAGACTCCTTTGTTCCTCTACGAAAAAGCCAGCCGATGACTTAAGCCAGTCAGAAAAGCGTTTTATGTATTCTCACCTTTATCTGGCTGGCTTAAGCCACCGGCTGGCTACTTCGGAAATGAACAAAGGAACCTAGGGCCAAAATCGAACTAAGTCAACCTAAATAAACGCTTTATGTATTCGCACCTTTACACGGACATATGGTAGAAGAATAAAGGTAGTCGCGTCGAACCAATTTTGTAATTGAATGAAAAATTATTCAAAACCGTGCAGATTACAACAACCTCCGATTGGCGTCGAATAAGAAAACATATAAAAATCTTCTTATTTTTGAAAAAGAAATCAACATTTTTTGCATATTAATGTTTCCAAGCTTTGATGCAACTAGCTGTATCCTTCTACCATGGACGGACTTTAGGCAGAATGATTCCAAATGTCCTTAAACGGCTATCGTTAAAAGAGACATTTGATCCAAAATCTTTATTCTGATAAAAAACATTTTTCCCTTCTCAAATGCTACATAACCTCAAACATAGCCAGAAAAACACTTACCGCAATAATAAATTCTGCCAAGTCCAGAGAATTGTTTTTAAACTCTTCCAAATTCTGGGTTTGGGGGTCATTGAAAATGTCCGAATGACACAAATACTGGAGAGCAGCATATTCCCGGGAGCCTCTGTAATTAAACAAAACAAAAAGCTCCAGCATTAAAGTGTCTCATTCCCTCTCCCTATATCTTCCTCTCTCTCTCTTTCCGGCAGAGTAAAACACCCAATTACTTTGTATATTTGGCAACCTTGGAATACATGGCCTGATTCATGTTGCACAGTGTCAATGCAGGCAGGGGAATCTTTAAAATTGGCGTTGGATGTGGACTAATGCCAATGATGACCGGTGTACTCTCCCATTTGGCATAGATGTTCGATATCAAATGGATCACGGTAATGCAACAAATTACAAAGGCGGCGAGAAAGAATAATCTGAAAATGAGATTGAGGTTAGAAATATCAAAAGAAGGATTTTTCGAAATTACTTTTCCCAGCCGTTCAAGGAGTTGTCCACCAAATATTTCAGGCCATGCAGCGTTGTTTCCTGTAAGTATTTCTTTAGATTACCCAGGCAATAGACTTCCAATTGTTCTCTACGTTTTGGTTTCCTTGGCTGCTGCTGCTCCTGCGGATGGGCCATGGTGATGCGTTCAAGGGTTTAGCGGCTAATGAGGCCTCTGGATTGTGTGGAACATATATCGATTTATAATTTTAAGGTAATTGGGTAAGAGCTAAATAGGTAATGTCCATTAATTGGTTACAAGCCATGGAATTAGATTTTAATGAGCTTTTCCAATTGCAGCCGGAGAAACGCCCGTTTTAATCAACCCAATGGATATTTAATGAAGGCTTTTACTTTGCTGAGTCATAGGGAGGTCATATTGATTATGTGATAGGCCAGGGACTGCACAGAGGGTAAGTGATGCACATAAAGCCATAGAAGGGAGTCATCTTCTCTCTGTTCAAAGTGTTCTCTTTTCCCTGGGAAAAGATCCCTACTACTTCCATGGAAAGCGCTCCAATTTCGCAATGGAAAGAATCCTTTACCTCCTCGAAAAAAACCCGCTATGGAATGCGCCCTATTTTTATTTTTTAATAAGCTTTTCTAATTGCAGCCGGAGAATCGCCCGTTTTAATTAACTCAATGGATATTTAATGGAGGCTTTTACTTTGCTGAGTCATAAGGAGGTCATATTGATTATGTAATAAGCCAGGAACTGCACAGAGGGTAAGTAATGCACATAAAGCCAAAGAAGCGAGTCATCTTCTCTCTGTTCAAAGTGTTCTCTTTTCCCTGGGAAAAAATCCCTACTACCTCCATGGAAAGCGCTGCATTTTCGCAATGGAAAGAATACTTTACCTCCTCGAAAAAAACCGCTATGGAATGCGCCCTATTTCGTCCATACAAAGATGCCTCTATCTTCTTAAGAAAATACACTTTTTCCTCCACTTCCTCCTCTTTCTTCCTTCATAGATAGATCCTTTTTATTGACTTATTTGAAGATGCCTTCTTCCTTTATACAAAGTTTTCTCTTCTATGAAAAACGTTATCATGCCTATGGAAAACCCCATTTTCCTATATCCAACTTTTTCCTCTTTGGAAAGAACCGCCTTTTCCCTCCTTGTTAACCTCACTTTTCTCTGTGGAAATAATTAATTTTCCTCCCATGGAAGGTTTTCAATCAATTTATGGCAAATCCTATTTCCTCTAGGAAAGAAACAATTTCCCTCTTTACTCTATGGACAGAACCCTTCAACCTTTCCTATTAGGTATTGATCCCCTTCCTGCATTGAAAGAGTTCCGGGGGGTAACACGCTGATTAAATGCCTTTTGTGGCCATTCGTGGAAGGGCCGTTTTTCTTCCTATGCAATTAAAAAATGTCATTAAAACCCAAAGCCATTACACGTAACAAATTAAGGGTCATTAATTTTGGTCACTTAATTGAAGTATTCCAACATAATCACACCTTCATCTTGCCATTATTACATAAACAACCGATGGTCTCTCATTTCGCATTCAACCATTGAACGTTACAGCATGGCCCATCCACTGCAGCAGCAAAAACTCAAAAAAAGAGAACAATTGGAAATCTATTGCATGGGTAATCTTAAGAAATATTTACGAGAAACAACATTGCATGGCCTAAAGTATTTGGTGGACAATTCGCTAAACAATTGGGAAAAGTAAGCCAACCAATATTTATATCTTCTCAATTTTTTAAACCCCTTTATTTTTTGCAGATTTTTCTTTCTTTCCGCCTTTGTCATCTGTTCCATTACGGTAGTCAATTTGATATCAAACATCTATGCCAAGTGGGAGAGTACACCGGTCATCATTGGCATTAGTCCGCATCCAACACCCATTGTAAAGATTCCCCTGCCCGCCTTGACCCTGTGCAACATGAATCAGGCCATGTATTCCAAGGTTGCCAACTACACCAGGTAATAAATTTAAGTTCCCCCAGAGTTCGGGGGGAGAGAGAAAGAGCAAAAAGCATTAGAATTTAAATTTTCCCTCCATTTTTCAGAGGCTCCAAGGAATATGCTACTCTCCAGTATCTATGCTATTCGGAAATCATTCACAATCGTGAGATGGAAAAGTCCCCGGAATTTCAAAACAATGACATAAAGCCCGCCGATTTCATTGTAAAGGTAAGTCTTTGCTTCCTTCGAATTTCATCGTTTTAAATTGTTTTACATTGTCGCATTTTCAGCATTCTCAGCCCTGTTCGCGAATGATTGTGGCCTGCCAACTTAGCTCCGTTGACATGGACTGCAGTGAACTGTTTCGTGAAGTCCTCACCGAAGAGGGTCTGTGCTGTTCATTTAATGGACTGCATCCGAAATTTCTCTACAAAGGAAAGTAAGTGAGGAGAACAATGTCTATATTAGCTAAAATTCAATTCACACTAAAGTAGACTCACTAATGGACCCTATAGCTCGTCTACGAGTAGACTCACTGACCGACCTTTATATGGTATAAATGTATTCTCAATTGCTGACTTTTATTTGAAAAATCCACCTTTGAAAGGGCCTTGAAATCAATTTTTAAAATCCAACTTTGAAAGAGCCCTGAAATCAATTTTCAAAATCCAACTTTAAAAGGACCTTGAAATTAATTTTTAAATCCACCTTTGAAAAGGTCTTGAAATTTATTTTAAGTCCTATGAAAAAGTTCTTGAAATTTATTTTAAAATTCCACGTTTTAAGACCGTTTGAAAAAGTTCTTGAATTTTATTTTAAAAATCCACGCTTGAAGTTCTTTAAAACATCCTCGAAATTTATTTAGGAAATCCACGTTTTAAGAGCTTCTAAAAGTTCTTGAATTTTATTTTAAAAATCCACGCTTGAAGTTCTTTGAAACATCCTCGAAATTTATTTAGAAAATCCACATTTTAAGACCTTTGAAAAAGTTCTTGAATTTTATTTTAAAAATCCACATTTGAAGTCCTTTGTCACATCCTCGAAATTTATTTAAAAAAAATCCACGTTTGAAGTCCTTTGACACATCCTCGAAATTTATTTAAACAAATCCACGTTTTAAGACCTTTGAAAAAGTTCTTGAATTCTATTTTAAAAATCCACGCTTGAAGTTCTTTGAAAAAGTTCTTGAATTTTATTTTAAAAATCCACGTTTTAAGACCTTTGAAAAAGTTCTTGAAATTTATTTAAAAAATCCACGTTTTAAGTCCTTTGAAAAAGTTCTTGAATTTTATTTTAAAAATCCACGTTTTAAGACATTTGAAAAAGTTCTTGAATTTTATTTTAAAAATCCACGTTTGAAGTCCTTTGAAATAACCTCGAAATTTATTTAAAAAATCCACGTTTGAAATCCTCTTAAACATCCTCGAAATTTATTTAAAAAATCCACGATTTAAGACCTTTGACAGGGCCTTGAAATCAATTTTAAAAATCCACCTTTGAGAGATCCTCAAATTTTATTTTAAAAATCTACGTTGTTAATTTTAAAATCCACGTTTTAGATCCTTTGAAAATACCTTAAAATTAATTTTAAAAATCCATTTTAAGACTTTTGAAAGGGGCCGGAAATAAATTTTAAAAATCCATGTTTTAAGACCTTTGAAAGGACCTTGAAATTTATTTTAAAAATCCAAGTATTAATACCTTTAAAAGGGCCTTGAAATTTAATTTAAAAATCCACATTTTAAGACCTTTGAAAGGGCCTTGAAATTAAATTTAAAACGTCCACCTTTTAAGACCTTTGAAAGGGCACGTTCTAAGGCCTTGAAAAATACTTCAAAAATTCGTTTAAAACTTCACGTTCCAAGACCATGAAAAATGCTTCAAAAATTCATTTAAAAATCCACGTTCCAAGACCTTTAAAAATGCTTCAAAAATCGTTTAAAAATCGACATTTCTGAGCCTTCTGTTAAAAATCCACGATTTAGTGCCTCAAAGAAGGCCTTGACATTTTTTTCAAAATCCATTTTTTAAGATCTCGCAATTTATTTTAAAAATCCTCTGGCCGGCCCTTTAGCTCCTCCATATAAAACCTTTTGAAAATCTTTTCTAAATATGGATTATGACTTCATGTTCAATCTTGCAGTTATTACACCCTAAGCAAGCTTGTGCAGAGTCCAGATATGGTACCGATCGATTGGAATCCTGAAAAAGGCTATCCTGCAAATTTACCCCCAAAATATTATCCTCGGCCGGCCTACGGTAAGTTTCATTACAACTGAACCATAAAAAAAACTTTAACAACTCCAACTCGTCTTCCTCTTCCCCATCCCCCAGGAACCGGCATAGCAATGGGCCTCTCCCTTATCTTGAATGCCGAAGTCGATGAGTACTACTGTTCATCGAGCAGTTCGGCAGGATTCAAAATTAATCTGGCAAGTCCCGTGGTAAGATCCCTAATGAAAGAGGACGGTATCATCGTACCTTTGGGTGCGGAAACAAGTTTTCGCATTGATGCCCAAATCACCGAATCATCACCAGCCATTCGCTCGATAAATCGTCGCCGACGTCAGTGTGTTTTCTTGGACGAAGAACCACTCGTCTTCTATCGTTACTACACAAAGACACATTGTGAAAATGAATGCCTGTCGATCTATTTCATCGATAAATGTGGATGTATCCCGTTTTATTTGCCCATAATTAGTCCGAATGCCACAATATGCAACATGAGTCGCCACTTTTGTATTGAACATGCCAAATTGGCTCATAATCCGTTTGGAAGATGTATGTCACGCTGTCAGACTTCGTGCTTTGAATTGAGATTTTTACCGCACACATTTTCATCGCCTTTGGCCGTGCACAACTACACGGTAAAGAGCAACCTTTTGACTGCCTGGCCCAAGGAAGAGGTGCAACGCAACATAGCTGTGGTGCATTTCTATTTTCGTGAATCGGTCATACATTCGGAGCTGAAAAATGTCTATATCGGGTTTACCGAGTTTTTGTGTAAGTTCAAATTACTCATTATTTTCAAAATAATCTATTAAAATATACCTCTTAATTTGTTTCCAGCCAATAGCGGTGGCATTTTGGGTCTCTTTATGGGTTTCAGTTTCATCTCCGTTGCCGAGATAGTCTACTTTTTGTTACTACGGCCCATTTCAAAATTTCTATTACCAAAAAGATATCGCAAGTCCCCACTGCTTATACAAGTTCGTCCAGCTCCCAAGGTGGGTAGGCTTGGAGAATAATTACCATTTTTAACCACACTTTTTGTGTCTTTTTTTCAGAAATATAAACATTGGTTGCCTGATGAAATATGCAGAGTTGGTACGAAATCTTATTATGCTAAGAGAGAAGGAGGTAGAAAGGAATCCAACCGATATCCCTTAAAGAAAAATTCAGTTTTATAAATTTTTAGTTTTGTTTTTTAAGGTTTTATAAAAAAACATATTTTTGTGAAAGCTTTAAAAGTTATATCCCAAATCATAAAGGGGCATAACGAGAATGTCTTAAAACCTTGGAAAAGCATTTTAAACTCTATAGCTCGTCTACGAATAGACTCATTGACGGACCATTATATCGTATAAATGTAGACTCAATTTCTGACTTAGTACCTTGAAGAAGACCTTTAAAAATCCACGTTTTAAGGCCTCTAAAACCTTTAAAGACCCTTGAAATTAATTTTAAAAATCCAAGTTGTAAAGCGCCTTGAAATTAATTTTAAAAATCCACGTTGTAAAACCTTTAAAGGGCCTTGAAATTAATTTTAAAAATCCACGTTGTAAAACCTTTAAAGGGCCTTGAAATTAATTTTAAAAATCCACGTTGTAATAAATTTAAAGGGCCTTGAAATTAATTTTAAAAATCCAAGTTGTAAAACCTTTAAAGCGCCTTGAAATTAATTTTAAAAATCCACGTTGTAAAACCTTTAAAGGGCCTTGAAATTAATTTTAAAAATCCACGTTTAAAGACCTTTAACAGAGTCTTGAAATTTATTTTAAAAAATCCACGTTCCAAGGCTTTGTTTTTGGTTTCAAGAACTTGAAGAATTTATTTAATTTATTTTATTTCTGGACCTTGACAATTCCTTAGAAAATCAAGGCCTTGAAAAGCGGTTCACAACTATTTACAAAATCCACGATTTAAGCCCTTGAAGAAGGTCCTAAAATTATATTAAATATTTTTTAAATACACCTTTCAGGACCTTGATAAAGACTTAAACAACCTTTTGGAAACCCTCAATTCAAAGCCTTGAGGAGGGTCTTAAAAATTCCTTTAGAGATCCACTATTCAAGGTCTTAAAAATTCTAATAAAAATCCAGGAATCAAGGTCTTGAGGTGAGCCTTTAATATTTCTTTAGAAATAAACAACTTAATACTCTAAAGAATATCTTATAAATCTAGAAAGTAAAGCCTTGAAGAAGGTCTTAAAAATTGTGTTGAAAATTCAAAGGTCATGGTCTTGAAAAATTCGAATAAAAATGCACAACTCATGGCTTTCAAAAATGTCTTAAAACTTCCTATAAAAACCAGAAATCAAGGCCGCATAGGTTTTAAAAATTCTTATAAAAATCCAAGAATTAAAGCCTTTAAGAAGGTCTTAAAAACTCTAATTCTCAAACTTTGAGCAGAGCCTCGAAAACTCTTTTAAAAATCCATGATTTAAGGCATTGAGATGGGCTTTAAAAAATTGCTATATAACGTCTTGAGGAGAACCTTAAAAATTCGTTCAAAATAAAGTTCACGATTTAAGGCCTTCTTTAAAGCCGTAAAGTTGCTTTTAAAAATTCAAATCATTGGCGAAGGCCTTAGAAATTATTAAAAAATCCACCATTCAAGGACTTTAAAAATAAAGTGATTGAATCTTGAGGGAGTTCTTAAAAATCCCCGAAACAAAGCCTTGGAGAGGACCTTACAAATTAATGGTGAAAATCCTTGAAGAAGTTACTAAAAAATCTTTAAAAAACAGGAATTAAGGCCTCGAAGAAAGTATAACAAAATATTTTAAAAATCCTAGAAACGGGACCTTGCAATTTCTTTCATAGAAAGAACTTCTGGAAATCAAATTAGACCTTTAAAATTCATTTAAAAGAAGAGGTTAATAACGGCCTTTAAATTCCTTAAACACTCCAGGTGTAAAGTCCTTAAACAGAGGCCTCGGAATACCTTAAAATTTAATGCCTAACTATTCTCTAAAAATCTAGATTTTAAGAGCCTGAACTAAACCTTCAAAAGTCATTAAAAAATCGTGTTCTAAATTACCTCTATTTTTCTGGCGAGAAGTCTTTCTGTCTATGTAAAAGGGATGCTACTTCCCTCCCTACCCTCCAAACTTCACATGTGAAATAATAAAATATTTATTATTTATTTATCTTTTATTCTTGTTAATACAACATAAATTTTTGAGGATTGTTTTTTTTTTAATTTTTTTTTTGTTTGTTTTTTGTTTCTTTATTTTTTTTTTAACTACATGGTTTGGAAAATATATTTATATATGTATATATATTTTTTTGTATATTTATAATTATGTTTATACACTCTCGTAGTTCAGCAGTGTTTATGTTTTTAAAAAAACAAAGTAACTTGGTTTTCTTTTTTTTAACCCAAAAACAAAAAGAAAAATGTTTGAAAAAAAAAAAATAGAAATAGAAAACAAATCCCAGGAATAAAAACAGTCTACTGATTATTCATGGGAAATAGGGGGTTTCTTGATTCGTTTTTGGTTTTCTTTTTCAGTGTATTAAACTGGGTATAATGAGAGGGGTTTCTTGGAACCCGTCAACACTCTTAAACTAAACAAAATAATTAATAATAGTAATAATAATAGTTATAAGATTTTACATTTCATTTCTTAATTATTTAAAATAAGAAAGAGCACAAAAATGAAACACAATACAACGCATATACAGTGTTATATTTGTAATGATAAAAAATAAAATAATAATAGTATGATAATAATAATATAATGAATGTATGAAAATATGTGTTATAATATATATGAGAGTCTAAAACAACAAATGTGAATGTGTTCGGTTTGTTGTTAAAAGCAATAAAAAAAATTAAAAAGAAATAAAATAAAATTTGAAAAAAAAACAAGAAAAAATTATAAAAACAAATAATGCAGTGTAACTTTTTTTACATAGATATTTATATATAAAAACCAATAAAAATTACATTGCTCAATATGTGTGTATGTTCATTTTTGTATACATATTACAAAAAAATGTATGTATGTATACACAATATATATATATATATATTAATATTATGTTTCTTTATATAGTGTAGTGTTGTAGTTATTTTATTATGTGGTTATTTTAAATTTTGTATTATTTTTTATATGCTGTTTGTTTTTGTTTTTTCTGTAATATTTATGTATGTATGTCATTTAAAAAATATTACTTTATGTACACACTTCATGTACCGGGTAGGGTTTGAGGGGTTTTGGTGGTGGTGGTAGTTAACATTTCTATTTTAACGAAAAGAAAAACCAATGAAGGAACCGTACAATAAAATCATAATCATCAATGATTCAAAAAAAAAAAAATAACAATAAATCAATTGTTAAAAAAATACAAGAAAATAAAATTTAATGTAAAAACAAAAAAAAAACATTTAACTTGTCAACATAGTGATTGTGGTTTGTTTGAAACACATAGACCCTATTTTTTTACAGCTGGCTGGTTGGCTGTCTGTCTGCTTGTCTGGCTTTGTAAGGCGGCAGCTGTTGTAGTAGTGTTAGTAGCAGTATTATTTCTTTGTATATTTATAGGAGGGCATTTGTGATGCCCGATAGCCTATATTGGGATTAAGACCTATTGGTGGACCAGGATTCATACCAGGACCCCCTCGCCCACTGTAATTGGCAGCATTGACAACCGGCAATGGGCCAGTTGGTGAAGCACCCACAATTGTTGCAGTTGGTGGTGGCATTGCAGAATGCATACGTTGATTACCTGGAAGAAAGGAAAAAATCATTATTAATTAGCAGGATTTAGGTTTTAGATTTTAAAAATGATTTCCAAAGTCCTTAACAAACCCTCGAGATAAGGGAAATTTTAATATCTTCTTCAAAATTCAGACTTTAACAGAGTTTGAAGGTCCTATTTAAGAACTTTAAATCTGGACTTGGGTGAGGAAGTTCAAAGCCTTTTTGATCAAATTTTTAAAAGACTTTCGAAGCTCGATTTGATGGATTTTGAACTCCAAATTTTAAGAAATAATTATGATCTTATAAAATGTTCTGCAAGGTATATTTTACGATAATTTTAGGTCTGTTTCGGAACTGCAAGAATGTACAAATTTTTACTACGATAACCAATACTCCTTTTGTGATATCAAAGAATGTTGCAAAACTAGTAGATTCTTGCAGGTACTGGAACAGATCATTTGAAAGAAAATTAAAATGTCCATTTTATGTTATTAAAGCGTGATTTAAAAAAGGCATTTTTAAGGTCTTTAAACCTAGATTTTTAAGGAATTTTTAGATCCTTTCTTTTTTTTTATCTTTTTACGTGAAGTTTTTAAATTAAATTGGAAGATCTTTAATATCGAATTTTGAAGGTTTAGTTCGAGGCATTAAAAAGTGGATTTTAAGGAATAGTTAGGCTTCTAAAATTTGGATATTTAAGGGAATTTAAAGGACCTTTTCACGTGTACCATTTAAAGAAAATTAAAAAGCCTTTTCAAGGCAGTTAAATTTGAGTAATTTGAATGGTAATTTTAAGGACTTTTTAGATGAATTTTCAAAGGAATTTTAAACGTCCAGTTTGAGACTTTAAACGTTGATTTTTTAAGGAATAGTAATGTGGACATTTAAGATGTTCTTTTAAAGGTCTTTAAACAATGACTTTCAAAGGACTTTCGAGGGTGCATTTGGAAGCTTTAAACGTAAATTTATAAGACTTTAATAATTTGTTTATAAACAGGTATTTTAAAGGCACTTCTCAAGGTTGAAAGTGAGTTATTGGAGGAATTTTGAATGTCCAGTTCGAAACTTTAAATGTGGATCTTTTAAAGGTGTTAAAACGTGGATATTTAAAATCTTCTTCTAAAAAGTCTTTAAACGTGGGCTTTCAAAGGACTTTCGAGGGTCCAATTTGAGGCTTTAAACGTGAATTTTATAGGGCGTATTTTTAGGTCTTATAATTTTTTTATAAAAAGGTATTTTAAAGACACTTCTCAAGGCCTTTGAAGTTGGAAGTTTTAAGCCATTTTGAGGATCCTGATTAAGGACTTTACATATGGACTGTTTGAGGAATTTAGAGGTCGTTTTTATTCGTATTCGTATGTATTTTTTAAGCAATATTATTTTACATGCAAATTTTAATTTGACATTTTAATGTGCAAATTTGAAGAAATTCCAAAGGGTCTAGAGGTGGATTTGTTAAAGAAATTTTCAAGTTTTTGAATAGAGGTTTTGAGAAAGGAATGTCAGGGCCTTGAATCGTGGACTTCTAAAAGAAAGGCCTTATTCAAATCCTTGAAACATGGATTTTGAGCCCCTTTTTAAAGGCCTTAAAATGTGGATTTTTATGCCCTTATTCAAGGACTTGAAACGTGGATTTTTAAAAGAAATATTGAGTCTTAAAGACCTTGAATCGGTGATTTTAAAAATAAATTTTGAGCCTTCCTTGAATCACCTGGAATTATAGATTTTTTTAAAAAAATTTTAGACCTCATTCAAGGCCTTGAATCGTGGATTTTAAAAAGAAATATTAAGCCTTTCCTTAAGGCCTTGAATCGTGGAATTAAAAAGAAATATTAAGCCCTTGTTTAAGGCCTTGAATCGTAGATTTTAAAAAGAAATATTGAGCTTTTCCTTAAGGCCCTGAATCGTGGATTTTTTAGAAATATTAAGACTTTATTCAAGGCCTTGAAACGTGGATTTTTATAAGAAATATTCAGGCTTTCTTCAAGGCCTTGAATCGTAGATTTTAAAAATAAATTTTGAGCCTTTCCTCAAGATCTTGAATGATGGAATTTTAAGAAATTTTGAGAACTTATTCAAGGCCATTATTCATGGATTTTAAAAATAAATTTTAAGTCTTTCCTCAAGGCTTTGAATCATGGATTTTTTAAGACATTTCGAGACTTTATTCAAGGGCTTTAATGGTGAATTGCAAAGACATTTTGAGCATCTCTTCAAGGCTTTGATCCGTGGATTTTAAAAAGAAATTTTGTAGTTCCTGGATAATGTCTTTAAAATTTGTATTCGGAAAATAATTTGTTAATGAAATTTAAGTTCTCCAAACATAGGTTTTTAGGGGAATTTTAAAATTGTTAAATTTTTAAAGAAAATAGGGTCTTTAAATATGAAATTTTTAAGACCCTTTCAATGACCCGTTAAGGTCCGTAAACCTGGACTTGAATTCGAAATTTAAAGGTCTTCTAAATGGACATTTTAAAGCCTATGCAGGGACTTTAAAATGTGGATGTTAAAAGGACTTTTAGGGGACATTTTGATGTCGTTCAAAAAGATTTTTTAATGAATTGATAATGTCCTTTCTTCCCCTAAGAAGAAATTGAATAATCTGCCTTTGGGCACGTTTTCTATCGCCTAAGGCTATTCTTTCACTATCGAAAAAGAAGAATTTTCCCAAAGGAACGATGTTTTTAATTGGATTTTAGTCTCATTCTCCTATTAGAAAAAGGTTCCTCATTTTCAATTGGACTAGTGTCAATCGCTATTTACCTGGCACATAAGGCTTCATTTGGTGGTACGAATTATGTGGTCTATAGTAGACAGTCTCATCATTGTGATGATAGTGTTGGTTTTGAGGTTGATATTTTGATCTACCGTTGTTGTTATTACTATTATTGGGACCGCCACCACCTCCGCCTCCACCACCACTATGAGACCCCATGCCATTACCACCGCCACTCCGGCCAGCCGGTTGATGTTGCTGCTGTTGATGATGGTGCTGCTGCTGTTGTTGCTGCTGCTGCCTTTGCTGACGCATTGTTATTTTCTTGGCAGCCTCTGGATCCTCCATTAATTCACGAAATTGCTCTTGGCGTATATCATCATGTTTGTCGGGAATCAGGTAACGTCTAAGTTCTGCCAAGGCATATGCCATGCGAGCATAGGCCTCAGCCGGTGGTGCTACAGTAGAAACTTCAACATGTAAAGGTAGATTAAGGTGGGCATACTTAAAATCAGCCGAATTACGTAGTTCTTCTTCACGGGCACGATCCTTCATGGAGAAGCGGCCCAATATGACAATCTTACATTGGGTCTCCTCCTGCAGGCGACGCACAGAGTTGCCTTTGGGGCCCAACAGCTTACCGACGTAATTAAACTGGAAAACAGAGACATGTTATTATTAAAACACCCGCTACTTCGTCCCCCTCCTCCCATTAGACTTACTTTCTTATTCTTAATAGGCACATGAACCTTTTGGGTTAGTTTTATGGTACGTTGCTGATAGACATCGGCATATTGTTCTCTAGCCGGTATGCGTCCATTCAATTGAATCCTTTCCAGCGCTGTTAAATAACAAGGTCACTTCGATTAGTTGACATTTTTGATGTGCCTTTGAAGAATACTCACCTTCATCGATTAGTTTCACAGCCAAGGGGAAAGTATTCTCCAATTTGGAACGTTCGACCAACAGCTCTTGCATATACTTTTGGGCAGCTTCACTTAGGCGCGATGTTGTCTTTTCCGCACTCCCATGCTGGTCGCCAGCATTATCAGTGTGCAGATGACCATTTACACTGACACCCCCACTATCGCCACCGCTAGACTCCACACGCATACCGTTTTCCATTTATTTGTGTTCAACGACGAAGACGACGACAACAGAACAGCAGCAGCAGCACCAGCACCACCACACACAATTTATGAAACGTAAACCCCGGAAAAACTTGATTAGCGATAATTGATGCAAAATTTGTAACGCGGAAAACCGATGTCTATTAACCAATCTCCAATGTGGCCAAGATTTTGCATAAACGGGACGCTATACTTGCTTGTGTAATGTTTAATAATTAAAAAAATACATAATAATTGAAAAATACATAAATCCACCAAAAAATTAGAGAACGAAGCCGTTTTAAATGTCCTAGCAATGGCGGCGTAATTTTTTTGCAAAATGTTCTAAGGGTCGGCGCTTACGATGAAGACGTGTGTCATTTGGCGAATTTATGTAGCAGCACTGAAAGGGATCTATTAATCGATATATGACTAATTCATACGAACCAAGTCGAAGAAATTATTGAATTTTTTTCAAAGACGCCTCTCATACAAGTTTTCAAGATGTTTTTGAATTTTTTCTATTTTCAAGTTCAACAGGACAATTTATTTCAATTTTTAAGATGAGAATACATAAAACGGTTTTTTGGCTGGCTTAAGTCATCGGCTGACTTCTTCGTAGAGGAACAAAGGAGTTTTAGGTTTACTTAGTTCGATTTTATCGATACATGAATTACACATATATGGCCGGTTATTACATCTTTCCGATAGATAAAAAAGTGATGTTGTCGGACACATAAATCGTTTTTCGTTATTACAAGTCTCATTTAAATAAAAACTGCCCGATAAGCAAAAGGCCAGGCCATCTTCCCTTTTTCTTTTAACGTAAAGTTTACTGAATACATGTTGCCATATTTTATATTGATAATATGACAATACCAGCAAAATATATTTAAATAAATAAATGGATAACGCAAATCATTTATTTTATATTGAAGAACTGAATTATAAATTTATTTCACAAAATTAATTACAAATTCGTTTTGTCTATTATTTTCTACCTAAAATGAAGATGCCATTGTGAAAAAATGCTGTGACTACCAGTTACTTTTACAAAAAGCTTGCCATATCTCTGTAAGAAATTAATATACTTTATATGAAAGATGTAATAATGAGAATCCGATAATGTGAAATTTATCCTTCACCATTCCTAAAATAAGGAATAACAAAAGTGGACTATAAAGGGAAGATATAAGAACGGGCCATAATATATCATGTCATTGTACATTTATTAAATTTTTATTATTATTTTTTTAATTGTTGTAACTCAGGAAGCTATATAATAGTTATATACGGTCTGCAAGGCCTTTTTACTACAAAATGGAATAATAAATAAATAAAGCAAAACTAAAACAAATCAACAATAACCACAAAGAAATCAGCTAATTAATCAGAAATGTAATCCTTTCCATTTCGATCTATGGATCCCTAGTCACAGCCAACAATCACCGTTTGTGTGTGAAGCAACGTGACGCATGGCGCCATATTTCACGCATATACCCAATGCAATTACCAAATACCCACTACTTGCTGAACTTCCATCTCTAGAAGTGTCTGATAAAAAAAAATAATTCATTCATTCAAGCAAGATACACATTTTTCCGTGCAGTGCTGAATTAAATCAAAGAAAAAGTTCCATAATAATTTAATAAAAATGCCGCGAGATTATGACCGTGATTATACCAGTGAAGATACATCAGATTATAAACGTAAAAGGCCACGTAACGATGAAGAAAGTACAAATAACGAACAAGGAGGTGGTGAGCAGGAGACACAAACAACCACACAACATGATGCTCCGCCGTTAAATGAGAAAACAGCCGCCTATTTGGATGAATGCTTGCAGGAGAAGAAACAATTGGATCCCAATAAGTACAATATATGCAAAAGGCTTTTGGATGATGGTGAGTGAGTGAGTGGTGGAAATGGCTAAGGGTGTCGGTACCATTTCCAAATAAAGAAATGCTGCTGGACGCCATTTTGATTTTCTTTGGGAATGTTGTGGGGGCATCGTTTTGTAAATTAAGTATAATTGTTTTGTGTGTTTTTTTGTTATAGAAATTGAACGCATTCTGGTTAGTGGTCGCATACCCAAGCCGGAAATCTTTGCAAATGTGTATAGTGAAAAACCCATACGTGTGGCCCAAAAAGTGTGGTTCCCCATCAAAGAATATCCCAAATTTAATTTTGTGGGCAAAATAATGGGACCCAAGGGTAATACCCTGAGACAATTACAGGACGAAACTTTCTGTAAGATGACAGTGTTGGGCCGCAACTCCATGCGTGATCATGCCAAGGAGGAGGAGCTACGAAAATCGGGTAATTTAAAGTATGCCCATTTAAGCCGGGACTTGCATATTGAAATATCAACTGTGGCCCCACCATCCGAGGCCTATCATCGTTTGGCCTACGCTTTGGCCGAGGTAAGGAAATTCATGATACCCGATACAAATGATGATATACGCATGGAACAAATGCGTGAATTGGATGGCAAGGAAAGATTTTACAAGAAATCTCATTATGCCAAGGCATATGGGGAGCATGCCCCACCCTATAGTAGCAGGTGAGTTTGTTGAAGTTTGTTTTGTAAAATTGAAGTTATTATTTTTTTCTCAGCAGAACTCCACCTCCACCACCGCCGTTTGAAAAATCAAAACCAAAGGTTTATTCGATTTTGGAAAAGGCCAGATATGTCATGGATGATCCTAGTTATCCAATAATTAAATCTCACAGGTATTTCAAGAATTTTTGTTTTTTTTTTAAATGATAGCCTTGTTTTATTGTAATTATATTTTCTCCCTTCAAAAGACCCCGAGAACATGATCTGTATGAACATCCAAGTGAATATGATCGCTATGGTACTCCACCACCTCCACCCTCGGCCAAACATTCAAGTGCTCATCATGCAGCCTATGAAAGTTCTTCATATGAACGAGACTATCGCAGAGAATATCATCCGCATTCCTCTTCCTATGCAGCCGCCGCTTATGCAGGTAAGTTTTTCCATTTTTCAATGAAAGAAGAAAAAGGTTTTCTGTTACAGCCAAACAAAAGACAACGTTGATTTATTCAAAATAATCAAATTTAAAAATACATACTAAAGAAATACCAAACAAAACTTAATTGAATTGAAGTTCAAAGAAGGAAACCCTAAACTGCCAAGAATAAAATCTAAATAATATCCAGTTTAACAACAAAAAAAAGAAACACAACTAATTTTAACGAATTTAAATAGCAGACAAAAGTAACAAATATTTTCCAAAACAAAATTGTACAGCAGCAAAGCTACGCGTTCTAAACAAAATATTTCAAGAAAATGCAATTATTTAAATTCGTTATATTGTGTATATTACATAGCTAATAGATGACAACTTCAATTAAAAAATAATAATGTCAAACCAATTCAATTTTTGCAATGCAAAACAAAAAACCTATAACAACAAAACCTTTACCACTATGGATAAATGCAAAAAGAAAAAAAGTTTTATAAACCAACAAAAAAACTCAAAAATTCTTTCAAACAACTACTACCTCACCCCCCCAAATCAACCACAACATTCAAAAACCAAATCCTTCTCCCATTTTTTCGTATCTAAAAACTAGCCAAAAGCAGTAATGGCCGCTCATCATCGTCGGCATATCGGCCAACGTCTACAGCCCATTCTTCATCACATTATGAGACTGGTGGTTCCCGTTCCCGAGAAAGTGTACGCTATCGTTCAGCACCGTATCCAAAAATACGTTAATATCAAATTCAAACAAATTCAACAACTAAAACTCGTAATAATAACAACAACAACCACAAGAAAAAGCGGCTAAAAACAAATGAATAGTAATACAAAACAGAGGCAATAACAACAAATACTGAGTAATGAATCTACACAATTTGCCGGCAAAAATAATAAAATTTGAAATTTCATTGAATACAACTTTGGTGTGGTGGGCATAACCTCAAAAATGTAAAAGAAAAAATCAGAAAACTACAAAGAGATATATAAAGGAATAATATAAACATATAATCTATAACTATACAAAAAACAAAATACATAATGTACTGAAATATAAGTATATTTAAACAAAACAGATTAAAATAAAAATAAAATACAAAAACAAAACAAAAAATGATCGGTGAAAGCCGAGATAACCCCACATTTTTTCAATACACACAATGCTGAGATATGAATGAGACCTATGTGCAACTTAAAACAAAGTGGCATAGAATAAATTGCTCAAAATTCAGGATTTCAAAAATTTTGAGGTTAGGATTTTTTTTTTTTTTTTTTGAAAAATTATTGAATGCCGGTATCTTATTTCAATTTCAACCTTTTTTCTAATTGAAAACAATATATATTAAGTAATATATTTAGTTTTGAAATTCTAACCTAACTTTTCTGATATTCACGAACGAACGTCTCATTCCTTTGTAGGGAGCAAATATATATCTAATTAATCAATATTTTGGCCTTCAATATATTTTAAACCCATCATTGAGAGATTAAAAATACATACAGTTTTACTATTTCTTGATAATCAGAGCTAACACACAAGTTTCTTGTTTCATGGAGTGCAAATGTAGCAAACATGTTCTAAAATTCAAAAATCAATGGAAAATACTGCCTTGGTAACGGCTATAAATAATCCAAAAAATAAAATAATGTATGCGGTGTAATATCGAAGTTGACGATTTTGCCCTCTATACTGTGATCGTTGAGTGTTTAATATTACAGTTTTATTCCTGCAACTTACATGTAATAATTTTCAAAATTGATTAACACAAAATAAATCGTATAATCTCGAAAATTTCCATTAGGACAGGAAGCATTTACTGGTTTGCTGGCTATCCAACTAAACACTGTATGTTTAAATAAATGTTTTAAAGCAAATTAATACACATTTTCAAATACTCAAATCGTTTAAAACTTTTATAATAATAAAGCAAAAAAATGGCAATCCTACAAAAAAATATAAGCAGGATAAAACTCCAACTATTTCAGACACAAAAGTAAATCTCTTAAAGACAAATTTAAAATTAAAAAAAAAATCAAGACAAACACCCAAAACAAAATAATTTAAGTAGTTCATAACCATATGCAAAGAACAAAACAAAAGCTACAATAAAAAATACAAAAGTATCGTACAAAAACCTGACTAAATAATTTCCCGAACAATACGACCACAAAAAATTAAATTTCATAAAGGGGGAGGAAGGTATAACAAAAGTAAGTATAAAACCATTACAAAATATAAACTCATTTTTCAAAATACAAAATAAATTATTGCAAATAAAGATTTTCCATATTTAAAACTAACAAAAACCAAATGCTGTTTTATTTAACAATTTTAAAAACTCATTGCCCCATCCAAAAACATTAGGCTATCAACGGCAGCTATGGCCAAATCAACATCACGTTTTTGCACTGTCTTTTTCTTGGCTTGGGCGGTAAAGGTATACGATTCCACACCCAGTGATTGTATAAATAGTTCTGTGGCTCGTGTTACCAAAAATACAGCTTCATTGGAGGCAATATGTAAATCAGGATCCAATTTCATGATATTTCTCACCCTTGTCAAAGGCAATTGAAAGAGTCGCGCCTCACTGCTGACATTTGTTGTTTTGGTCTTGCTGGCTGGAACATCATAAAACTTTAGATTAATATTTTTAATCACAAATTATGAATGATTTATTGTACATTGTGTTTGATCCTCCTCAGTGTTTGTTGTGACCGGCACACTTTCATCCGGGGTCGTCGATTCCTCTTCAACAACATTGTCCTCCTCGGTTTCCTTGCCGCCAATGTCTTCTTGTTCAACAATGTCCGCCTCCTGAACATAATCTTGTTCTAATTCAGAAATAATTTCTTCGGAGAAGTCTTCGGCAAATAAATCCTCGCTAGCCATTTTTGTTGGAAAATTTATGGAATTATTAGTAATAAATACAAAAACAGAAGCGGCATTCAACAGAGTTGTTAGAGTACTATAAATCGAAAATGGGTGAGAAGTAGAGCTCTCAAATTCGAATGCATAGTGATGTTCGAATGTATAAAGGCGGTTCAGATGACAGCGAAGCCAGGCACTGTGTTTTTGCATCATATGAAAGGAAACTATAGATCGAAAACTGTGAAGATGGGTATTAAAGTTATGATACATGTATTGTGTTCTGGTAGAAGAAGTATAACTAGTAAAAAAGAGAAATCTTACATTCGCTCTGAGAGAACTACTTTGACAATATAGTACAGGAATGGAAAACTTGTAAATATGTCTGAATTCTTCAAAATAACCAATTCATTCAATTAAAAACTGAAAACCATGCTAATATTTTTTACTCACGGAGTGAAAAATGAAAAAGAGAACACCATCCTTAAGGTGCAAGTACAATAAAAGCTTGAAGTCATGGCTAGACATATTAATGGAAAACGTCGGCTGGATTTTAGTGCGGCTATGTAATCTCTTTATGAAATGTCACAAAATATGCCTAGCTTTGACTTCAAGCTTCTTATATACTTACACCCTTATGTGTGCTTTCTTCATTTCGATTTTTCTTAGGGTTTTGTGTTCAAGAACGTAAAAATTTAAAATTTTTGACATATCAATATTGGCAATTGCTATATTCTTTTGTCTCTGACGCTTTGAAGTCGGTGTATAATAAATAATTATATTTTTATTACTACTTTATACGATACGATAAAATATGATTTTAATTTTTTTATTTTCTTGGCTTAATATGTCAACTTTATTTGTTTATGTGCGTGTATTCTTTCAATAATAAAAAAAATAAAAAAATGAAAATATTCAAATTTGGGTGTTTTCAAAACGCTTATTTTTCGAAACTAGCCTACCTTATCTTCATTGTACCATGGGTTTAAATATTTTTCTTGTTGAGCTATACATGCGATTTCCCAGCAACTTGATTATTGATGCTAAATGTAGCGTAATCGACTAGCCGATAGTCGACTTAGGTATCTCTAAATTGAAAACAATAGAGTAGTGTTGGAAAATGCAGTTAATTTCGCCCAGGACTACACCTAGTTAATTTGTTCGGATCTAAATCGTTCTTCGAGTTTTAATGCTTTACTACACACACAATAAAAAAGAAAAATATTCAAGTAAATGAAAACAAAAACAACATAAAAATTTTCATGTAGAAATATCAATTGAACTAGTTCGTTCGTGAACTAGGCAACACTACTTGATGCGCTCCTTTCAATGAATCGTTCAATCGAACTTGTTCATTCGTGAACTATACAACACTAAACTATACGACACTACAACAGAGGAAAAAGGAAGAAAATCTAAGAAATCTTTTATCCGAGAGAAAGTGAAAGTGTAGTCCTCCAAAATTTTCAATTAATACATTTAATTACTTTAAAAAAAAATCAGAAAAAATAACATCAAATTTATTATAAAGAGCTGCGTGAAACAAGGAAGGCCTAATATTTTTGTTGTCAAACAATTTTTTCAGAAATGTATGTTGGCGTCAGAGTTTTTTGTTCGTTTTTTTTTTTTCGCTTTAATCTATGGAGGAGAGGGTACAAGAGTGATATTTGTGGGAAAATTGCACAAAATTGTTTTGTTGAGTCGGAGTGTAATTAAAGTAACAACTTTCTTCGTTGTTGTTTTTGTTTTTAATTTCAGCGTATATTTCAAAATTGAAAAAAAAGGATTAGAGGAACATTTAATTTGAAAGTGTAATATAGAAAAAGTGAAAAAGACAAATCATGGCCAATACCTACGAGGGTAATGGCGACTACTCGACAGGACCACACAATGGTGATAACCATGGTGGTGGTGGCGGTGTTGCTAGTGTAAATGAACAGCATCATGGTGTTAGTTCCAGCATGGGTCCCATTGATACAAATTATCTCAATGAAAAGGCTAATGAATATGTTCGAGACTGCCTTAATGAAAAATCACGAATGGATCGCAAATTCCCCATAGCCGAAAAGCTATTGGATGCAGGTGGGTTTTGAAGGAATAAAAATTATGTGTTTAGGTGTGGATAATAATTCTGTTTTTTTTCTTTGTTTTTCTTAGAAATTGAAAAGGTGCAAACAACTGGCCGTCTACCGTCTAAGGAACAAAAATATGCTGATATTTATCGAGAAAAGCCGCTAAGAGTGTCGCAAAAGGTTTTGGTACCCATCCGGGAACATCCAAAGGTAATTTTTTGAAAGGGGAAGGGATACCCATTGAAAGTTGGGAAGAAAGTCTTAGTCAATCTTTATGAAAACTTTCACCCAATTTTTAGATAGGCCTTAATGATTTATTTCAAATTTGTTTTAAGTCCCAAATAGTTAGTTTTCTGGAAAATATTAAATTTCCAATTAGAGAATATTTTCCTATTTGACTTGTTTTCTCACCATTCTCATCTTTTATTTGCAGTTCAATTTCGTTGGCAAATTACTGGGACCCAAGGGCAACTCCTTGCGCCGCCTGCAGGAGGAAACAATGTGTAAAATGACCGTACTGGGACGTAATTCAATGCGTGATCGTGTCAAAGAGGAAGAGCTTCGTAAATCCAAGGATCCCAAATATTCTCATTTGAATAGTGATTTACATGTTGAAATCTCCACGGTGGCACCACCAGCCGAGGCATATGCTCGCATTGCTTATGCCATGGCTGAATTGCGTAAATATCTAATACCGGATAGTAATGATGTTATACGTCAGGAACAATTGCGTGAACTAATGGATAGTACTCACATAACGGAGGAACAAAAATCGACAGGCTATAAGAAAATCGTACCACATACTCCTTCGGCTGGTGGTGGTGGTGGCGGCGGAATATTAACTGGTCCTGGCAGTGTTATTACATCAAATCTAACAAAGAATATGGTACCATATAATAAGTCTGGTGGCGGAGGAGGTGGAGGTGGTGGTCAAGGTGGGCCAAACAGTGTAGCCTCGGCCGCCTCGGCATACAACAAAAACAATACAGCACCAAAACAAAAGGTTATGTCTATATTGGAAAAAGCCCGTTCGGCAATGGAGGAGACATATGGGTAAGTTTTGTTCCTTGCTTCGTAAGAAAAGGGTTTTAGATTTCTGGAAATGCCTTAAAGACTTGCGAAAGATTTTTAAGCTTACGAAACTCTGAGAGGTGGCTTAGACCCATGCATTTGAGAGGTGGCGTAGGCTTTAAAAATACCTTCTACATACAAATCTCATTTGAAGGAATCGCCTAGGAAGGTCAGCTACACATTTCTGGAACTCGAAACTTGTTCGAAGATCAGCTAGAAATATCAAATATTTTTAAAGCTGGTCTTCCAAATATAGAAAATTTTGTTTTTCGATCGTTTGAAATGCCCTGTAGAACTATTGTTGCTTTACCATTTAAAAGTATTTGTGTGCCAATGAAATATCGTTCACATCTTTGGATATTAAACTTAAATTATTTGTCCTTTTTTGTTTTTCTTTTCTTTAGACGCGGCTATGAAGATAACCAGGGTTTCGATCATTTACAACCAAGCTATGATGCCCCCTATTCATCATATCCCCAACAAGCACAGTCGGCACATAATCACAATCCCCATGTACCACAAACTCCTGGCATGGCGATGAATCATTTGAACACTGGACGGGGACCCTATGATACAACCAGCACTGATTATGAGACAAATGATTATAGCAGACGTGGCGGCGGAGGAGGTGGTGGTGCAGGGGATTACTATCAAAATCCCACAACAGCATATGGCGGTGACTATTTTAAATTTCCCCTCTTTACTCAATACAATAAATTGGTAAATGTTTAAATTATTATTTTTTTTTTTGATCCATAAAAAACAGCAGCTGCTGGTATCCAGCCAAATAATGGCGGCCTAAATCCGAATCAAACACAAAATCGCAGTCACGTTAATAGGTGAAATTTATTTGTAACAACAAACAACCACTTACAACAACAACAGAAAACACAACAGCAACAACAACAGCAGCAGCAGCATACAAATGCCAATAACACTGTTATTTCGAATACACGTTGTCCTACGATTTCCTCTTCCAACACATCCAATCCTACTATGAAACCGGGAAACTTACCTCATCAGCTAAACGATCCCCATGATTCCCTTGGAGGAGCCGGCGTTGTAACAGAAAATGGCAATGGCGTTGAGTTAAACAATAATAATTATTTGTACAAATCCTCCATGAATACGCATCAGGCGGCGGCTGGCAAAGCATTTCCACCAACCACCAATCAACATCGGCAGCAATTGGAAACAGTAGCACTTAAAAATTTAACCAATGGTCCCAACAATCCGACACAGCCCACACCTCAACCAGCACCATTAGCATCATCACCATCAACAACTTCCACACATGTTATGACAATACCAACACAAAATTTCCCACCGTCTTCAGACGCTCTCAACAATAATAATAACAACAACAACAAAAATAGTATGAACAGTAACAATGATAATCAAAATGAGATTTTAAATAATAAAACCACAACAATAACAAATGCTACAGTAGCACCTACACTGTACAACAACAACAATCTGCTAAATACAACAATTACAGGATTCAATGGCCATCAACAGCATTTTAATAATCATCATCAGAATACTACAGCAACAAATAATAATAACAACAACAACAATAAAACAGCAACATTATTACCACCAATACATCCAACCACCATACCAATGGCATCGTCGTCGTCCGATCAGCAACAACATCAACGTACGGCAGCAACCAATAGCCTATTGTTTGTAAGGTATTAACAACAACAACATATATCACAAAACACTTTAAGACATTTAATAATTTATTTTTTTTATTATTTTTTTAAAATGAAACAAAACTAAATTTTATGTCCTTTGGGGTTATCTAAAAATTTGCCTCAGCATTTCGTTAATAAGTCCCACAGACCTTGAAGCAGAAAAAAAAGAAACGATCTTTTAATAGAAAATCAAAAAGACTATCACAGCAAATTCGGAAATCTTGTTAGAAGCCCAAAATGTCTTCGGTCTAGCAACCTTTTTATAATCTTAAATTCTTAAAACCAAAAAAAAAAAAAAACTAAAGGTTATGTCTTTTGAGGTTATAAAAAAACTAAACCCAGTATTTTGTCAGTGAATCCCATAGACTTTATCACATCCTTTGGCAAAAAAGACCAACGGGTCCTCTGACAGAAAATTGTCTGTGCGGATGTACGTCTCCTTATAGCTCCCATAGAATGGTACCTCCCGAAATTCTAATGACATATGGACAATGTTTTTCTCTTTTCAACATTCTTCAGAATGGTTTCTTTTAGAAGGCTCCAAAAACTTTGAGGTTATGATCCTTTTAAACTTTTAAATAATCCCAAAGAACAAACATGACATGACATGCAATACTCAAAACAAAAACAAAAAATGATACTCATTCAAATCTCTTACAGACCTGCAAATCATTCAACAACCACAACAACTTTACATGTTGGTAAACTACCGTTTTTGCCAGTGCAATTTATATGAACTCTCAACAACAACAACAACAAGAACTCTCCTAACAAATCAACAACAAATATCACCACCACAACTACCACCCACCAATCAAACATACTTCTCTCCCTCTTTGTTTCTTTATAAGACAAAAAGAACAACAGCAACAACAACTGAACAAGAAAACAATAATTATAGTAATTTTCATCATTAATTATATTATATACATATATTTTAACTTTAAAAGAAAAAAAAATTACTTAAAAAAAGACAAACATAAAGAGAAAAAAATCATTAATTTACCACATAATAAACCCAATCACACGGTGTTCGGCACAACAACATGGTTCTCAAGGTTTTGAAGGCGTTATTAGTTCCCCCACAAAACAAAAAAAGGAAAAAAGAAAATATATAGAAACAAAAGGAAATCAAAAAATTTTAATGAAAATATGATATTTTTTAAAAAATATTTCAAAATTATTTGAACACTAAAACAAATTATGAAAGAAAAAGAAGAGATTTCAAATTTCATCAAAAACAACATTTGCTTTAATTTCGAAAATTAAAAACAAACGGAAAAAAGAAGAAAAAATCGAAACCTTGGCATGGATTATGCCGTCCCTGTGTTACCTAAGGCTCAAAGTCTTATAAATAAAAAACAAAAATAACAAGAAAACACACTTATAAAAAATTAAAAATTATTAAAACAAAAGACGAAGATTACAAAAAAAGGGATACAATTCAAAATGAACATTTAACTAAACTAAAAAAAAAAAAACATAAATAACTCTTTAACTTATAAAAAGAAAATAATATTTACTAAAATAATGACTAATGACTTTAAACATATACATATATATATTTACAAACAATATTTAATTATTGTCAAAAGAACAAAACATGAAAAAATTAAAAATGAAAGAATATAAAATACAAATACTTAAAAATGTTATAATTGAATTCGTTTATTGAACTGAAAAAACTGAGAATACATATTTGACAACAAACATATTGATATCAAAGCCTATTAAGATTATGTTAATAATATTGGACAAAGTGTTTTATGCTAAAGTACAATATTTGATTCAATTCTCAACACTCTACCTGAATTAAATATTTCTTACATTATAATTACAAAACAATACAAGTTGGAAACTAAGCAATGCCAAAAACTCCTTTAAAATATTCCAACTTCTGTGGAGTTACTGCCTTGGTAAAAACGTCAGCAACCATTTCTTTTGTTGAAAGATACTTCAAAGATATTTCATTGTTGTCAATTTTCTGTTTGATAAATTTGGCTTTAATATCCACATGCTTTGTCCTTGACGAATACTTGTTATTTGTAGCCACTTGTATAGCTCCTTTGTTATCACAATACAAAACCATGTTGACATTGTTGTTGGGATTGAGTTCTTTTTCTAGTCGTTTCAACCAAACAGACTCCTGTATAGCTGCAGTTATTGCCATGAACTCAGCTTCCGTTGAAGATAGTGCCACCGTTTTTTGTCTTTTTGTGGACCAGGATATTGCTGCTGATTGAAAAATAAAGACATAACCAGTTGTCGAATGACGGTCGTCCAAACTTCCAGCCCAATCTGCATCGCAATAGCCGGTAATATCTTCTTCTAAATTTTTCTTATAGATGAGCCCTTGTTCTATAGTTCCTTTGAGATAACGCATTATTCTTTTTACAGCTTCCCAATGCGCTCTACCAGGATTTATTCCGAATCGGCTCAGGATATTCACAGCATAGTATATATCAGGGCGCGAAACCTGAGCAGCGTACAACAAGCACCCAATAGCTTCCATATACGGTGTTTTCGACATTTTTTCCTTTTCAACTTCGGTTTTAGGGGACATACTTTCGTATAACTTCTTATTATAGTCCATTGGAGTTGAGGAAGGGTTACAGTCATTCATTCCGAAACGTGTCAATACATCTGATATGTACTTAGACTGATCAATTTTGATTCCATCTTCAGTTCGGGATATTGTCATACCAAGAACATTAGACACTTCCCCCATGTCTTTCATTTTAAATGTTCTTGAAAGTGTATTCTTGACAGAATTTATTTCGTTTTCGTCATTGGAGAATATAATTACATCATCTACGTATATTGCAATATAAATCTTCTTTTCATCTGTCACCTTTGAATATACGCATTGATCCACTTCTCCTTGTACAAAACCCATATCGATAAGTTCCTTGTTTATGGTTTCATTCCATACTCTCCCAGATTGTTTCAAGCCGTATATGGATCTGTTAAGCTTACAGACTTTATTAGAAGCATCACGGAAACCTTCGGGTTGTTCCATATATATGGTTTCTTTTAAAATCCCGTTTAAATAAGCGCTAACGGCATCCATCTGATGAATCTTCATGTCATATTTTGCTGCCAATGCTGCTAAATACCTTATTGATTCATACCGAACAACTGGAGAGAATGTTTCCATATAATCGATACCTTCAGTCTGTGTAAATCCCTTTGCGACTAGTCTTGCTTTCCATCGCAACGTGTTTCCATTGGAATCTTGCTTGGTCTTGAACACCCATTTTGACTTCAGAGCTTTGCATCCTTCAGGAAGTTGAACCAAAGTCCAAGTATTATTGACTTTCAAAGAATTCATTTCATCTTGCATGGCTTTTTTCCAATGTTCAGAATCTTCAGACGACATTGCCTGTTTTATAGTCTGGGGGTCTGAAGAAACATATTCTATTGCAGAAAATGCCGTTGATCGTTGATTACGGTTTGCTATCCTTTCTGATCTTCTAATATTTTCAGACGTTGGTATTGGTCGTGAATTACATTGATTTGGTTCCCATTCTTCATCATTTGGGTCCACATAGCCATTGTTATCAAAACATTCTGAATCCAAAAACTCACTATCAGTTTCAGAATCACTACGAGGCTCATTTTGAATTACATTATTGCCATCCAATTCGGTTGACTCCATATTCGTTGATACATTATTCACTGTTTGGTTCAAAACATTATCCATTTCTTCATCTGGAGATTGAATTAGCAAAGGATTGTACAGATTAGAAGATGGCGTTTCAATGTTTGAGTGAACATTTTCAAGAAATACCACGTCACGGCTAACAATTATTTTTTGATCACTTGGATCAAATAATCGATACGCTTTACTTTCCGTGCTGTATCCAACCATGATACATTCTAATGACTTTGGATCAATTTTAGATCTTCGTTGTTTTGGTACATGGACCAAAGCTGGACATCCGAAGACTCTAAGATGCTTCAAATTTGGTTTTCGACCCGACCATAGTTCTTCGGGACATCCTTCATTTCCTCGGCATGGCACTCTATTTATCAAGTACGATGCGGTAGAAGCAGCTTCTGCCCAAAAACGTTGATCTAATCCACTGTCGATAAGCATACATCTTACCCTTTCTATAATCGTCCTATTTATTCGCTCGGCTACACCATTTTGCTCGGGTGTATATGGACATGTTTTTTGATGTATTATTCCACTTTTTTTCAAGAATTCAGAAAAATGTTTGCCGGTGTACTCAATAATTGAATTCGTTTATTGAACTGAAAAAACTGAGAATACATATTTGACAACAAACATATTGATATCAAAGCCTATTAAGATTATGTTAATAATATTGGACAAAGTGTTTTATGCTAAAGTACAATATTTGATTCAATTCTCAACAAAAAAAACCAACAACATTACATAAATAATTCTATGAAATTTTCAAAAATATTAATTAAAAATAAAATAAAACAACGGATAATTATATTAAAAAAACAAACGTTAATACGTTACAAAAAATTAAAACTTTAATACACAAATCTAAAAAAAGAAAACAGTAACACAAAAAAAAACCAACTTTAAAATGAGTTATATTCCATAACAACAACAAATAATCTCTATATATTTAAATCATAACAAGAAAATAAAGTATTTTTAAGAAAAACAAAACAAAAATATAATTATGCTAAAAAATCCAACAAACTTTAAAAATATATATTTATTAAAACAACAACAAATACATATAATGAACAAACAGAGGGAAAACCAATATAAACGTACAATATCACAAAAAAACGGGCACATAAATGAAATAAACTAAAAAAAGAACAGAGAATTAAAACTAAATGAAAACCATTTTTAAAAACAAATAATGACTCGAGAAACTAACAACATATTTTCAAATGTTACTCTAAATACGGATAATAATGAATGAGAATCGAAACCACAACAAAAACAAACAAACAAACAACAAGAAGGAAACACATAATTACTTTATAAAACTATGACAAACAGAAAGAAAATAAAGAAACAAATTAAAACAAACATCAAATTAATATACAACATATATATTTATATGAACATACTTATGCGAAACAAATGAAAAAATAAAAAAACAAATTATTAAATATGCAATATATCTAAATGTTAAAATAAAAAAACAACAACAAAAACAAAATAATGAATCAACAATAACAAAATTAATAATTATAAATTATAAAAAAACACACAACACATAATTGTCCAAATAAAAGTCAATATTCGCCTATGAAAAGTATTGGAGTTTTATTTATTTCTACAGACAACAATTGTTTTACTTAACCTCAAAGTCAATAAATATTGATCTTTACATTAATTGAAGAAACATGGTTTTAAGCTTCTTTGACAGCCTAAGTCATCAGCTGGCTTCTTTGGAAAATGATAAAGGAGCTTAGGGCCAATATCGAACTAAGTCAACCTAATATTCCTATGTTCGTCAAGAAAAAAAAAAAACGTTTTATGTATTCTCGCCTTTATGCCATGGCTTATCGTACTTAAGAAAATGATTATTTGACGTATAAGTAATGGATATGTCAATTTTAATCCAAATATAGTTGGTTAACTAACCACTTTATATGTAAACGTACTGTTATCATTGTTTTGAAGCAAAGAAGTATTAGTGGTAATACCAGGATTTTCCAAAAATCCGCCATCAATTCTCTTGGATTCTGACTGGGAATATTCTCCCAGGAACGAACTTTTTGCAGTTGTAATGAAATTGTCTACAACGAGTACATTACCCTTTCATTTGTCATTGCTTGAGTTTTCCCATTGAGTAGTTCACAATATTGCTTGAAGTACAGATCTAGAGGTCATCGGTCATTTCGTTGCCGATTTACCTTCTCCTTACTTCTCAAGTTAGGGTTTGTTTTTTGGGTTCAAAGCGCCATTCAAAGAAGAAAAAAGGTATTTAACGGCTAGAAACACTCTTCTTCTTTTTCTTACGATTTGAAATCACTCACAATGAAATGCTAACAGAAAAATGGTTTTTGTTAAC